GGGAGGGTGGTTGGCACAGTGCACAGGGCATGCCGGGGTTGTTGGGACATGGAGTGTATTTCTATTCTTCACAGATGAATTCCTTCCTTCTTTGACTCAACTACGCATCTGCTTTTCGCAAACTGCCTTGAGCCTCCTTGACTCTGCAGATGGCTCAAACCTTTATAGATAAGCCATTCAATTCCTTTCGAGAGGTGATCAGTTACCTTCCTTGTTGTAGAGATAAAAGCTTGCAGAAAGAAGTCTTCAATTCTGTACATCAGGAGAATTTGAGGTAAGGCTGCAAAGTGGATAATACATAAGTGGACTGAAGGAGGGAGGAGAATCAGGGCCAGACAGGCATAGCTCATATGCTGTTGCAACTGCCAGGGGCCTATTTTAGCCATGAAAATGAATCTGTCCCCAGTTTGTGTAATAGGGGCCAGTTTGGGATTGGAGTAGACAGAAGTCCTTTACAGTAACATTTATCCTAATACGATGAATTCTTAGAAATTCTGGGACATAATATTTTGTTCAAAAATTCAAAATGTTACTACTTTTTGGGCTGACATGCTTTTCCCAGCTGACACTGACAAATGTAATGTATTTTTCCCCAACTACTAAGCTAAATAATTTTCTTTCTCAAAGATAGAATGTTGCTTTCTCTCCATGAATTGAGTTGCTAAACTCTTGCTTGTTACATTTGATTTTGTTGGGTTGGTGGAAGGAATTTTTGAAATCAATTTGCTCAATCAGTGCAGAATCTGAATAGTAACCCTGCACCAACAATGAATTGCAAATCAACACTGTAAATAGAAACAGAATGGTAAGAAAATATTTTTCAAATGCAAGAGGAGCAGTGTAACAAAACCCTGCAGAAGTGAGCAAACATTTAAACGTTGCAATCTTAAATTTAAAATGCTCCCAGATTTATCTTAGAATCAATCCTATTTGTGGTAAAACATGCCTCATTTTAAATTTGTCTTAATTTCCACAGAGAATTGATGTAAAACTGGTAAATCAGTGCAAAAATCTCCCTTTCAGCAACATTTGTTCATATGAATTACTGTTCAATGAAACATTTTAAAGGAGCTTATTTATTTGTGGCCTGTTAAATGTCGAAGGCCTTATTGTCACATCCTGATCTATTGCGAGTCAAAGTGGTTAAAGTATTAAAATTGTAAGTGCATGTGAAAGTGTGTTGAAGAGTAAAGCATTACCTGAAATTTCAAGATTGTCAGCATCACTTTCATTTGCTTCAGCCAGCTGATTCTCTAGGATCTGAGCTGTACAGATAATAATGTCATTCTCACGCACCACTTGAGGGAATGAGATCTTCAGTTGTGTATCACCACTTATTTTGCTGACACTATATTTATCTTTCAGGTACGGGTTGAACTCTTTGCGAAAATGCTGGTCAACTAAAGGCACCTGGGATACATATGAATGAAAGAGAAACAATATTGTTTAATTTTTGCCAACCCAGTTGAATTTGAATAGGAATCTTATGTTGTTTGATGCTTTCCCTAGAATGCAGCAGCGGCTACAGGTATTTAATGGGTTTAGGGACATCCTGAGTGTGGGAAAGATTTACGTAAATGCAAGCTCTTTATCCTTTTTTTCTCTTAGTTTAACAGATTTTCATGAAACAGTTTCAGCTTTAACAAAATAAGAACAATGCTATTGTCATTTACAAACGCAAGAAAATCAAAACACTGTAATCTCTATAAAGCTGCCATCCCCAATCTTAGATTAGCTTTTATCCATTACCTCTATCAACTAGTAGTTTGTCAATGTCATTGATCAAGGTGAACCAGAGGAGGCACCATTTTGTCAGTTTGCTAAGCCTTATCCCTTTGATCAAGATGTAGCAGGATCAGAACTTGAACCCTCAATATTCCAAATTTGGGTTTCTTTCCT